CCTTCTGATGTTATGACTGCCTTTTCGAACTACGGCCATTTTTTCGTTGCCCATTATTGTTTTTTTTGCCCTTTTGAACTTCGTTTGTGACACAAACGTACTTGCCCCAAAAAAAAAAGAAAAAACTCTGAATACCAGTCATAACAGAGGTTCAATTATACTCAATAATCATGACATATTATGTCCAATCATATCAATAATGATGATCTGCAATTACCTGTGGCCAGTCACCTGTGGATATATCTCTAGACCGTCGCCCTTAAAAAAAAAAAAAAAAAAAAAAAGGGTCTGGGTGGCAACCAAGGAGCTGATTGATGCGGACATGAGATGCAAGGGGAAGCAAGCCAGGACGACCATCCGACAGCACCAGAGAGAAGTGAAGAAGAAATCAAGAAGAGAGTTGGCCGGCCATAGCCGTAACTGACTTGCTCGAGGCGAAGTAGCGACTATGACAGGCTTACAACTACAATGATCATGAAGAGAGCGACACAATCCCGAACCTGCATCAAGACTACAGTCAGGTCCATCTACAGAGGAGAAGAGTCCCATATAGGCGTAGCAAACTAAGGAGGCCTCTCTGTAGCTGCAGTGTTAAAGTAAAGGCTCACAACTATGACTGGTGACTCTGAGATGCTGAATACAGAAGATCGTCGCCTGAATTAGCATAGCCTCTCCTCTTTTCTCAGACAATCCACGTCAACTATGGAGCATTCACGGGAATAAAGAAGATAGAAGATGCACAGGAAGCAGGGATGAGGGATGGTACATCCTTCCTGGAAACAGGAAGCAATCAGATTATCTTCAAAAAACAAAAGAGAAGTTTGGAAAAAGCAGCTGCAAGCCTGCTCAAAATGTGCCTGGATGTGTAGGTGCCCACGTGCATGATCTGCACCAAGAGATACAGATGACCATGTACATTATGCCAGAGCTTCCTTTGTTTTTAGGCACATAATAAAATAATAGCAGTAATAATCATAATCATAATAATAATAATAATAATAATCAATTGCCTGAAAGTTTCTGTCCTTCGCCTGAACAACTCATGACCAGGACTGCAAAAGCTACGGGCACACCTGGTAGGTTATTTTTCATCAGGCCACAGCTACCTGGATTATGTCCCGCCAAAATTGAAGGGCCTGACGATGATCTTTAACAGCAAGCAAGCACTGGTGGTAATTGCGCGCGCCCTGTCCTAGAAAGGTGGAACTGCAACGCACTTGACTCCCCCAGACTAAGACCAGGGAAGCACATCTGTAACAGATATAAAGACGACGTAGAAAGCTCAACTTAGCCCCGTCTCCTTCGCCACAGAGGACATGTCACGGGTGAGTGCCCAGCGTGAGTAGTACGACGGAGATGGGGCAAGGAAATTATAATCACATTGATCTGGATCTGAATCTGGATTATCCCAGCAAAGGCCAAAGTCAACAACTGTGCCATCAATACATTATACTGCACCGCACCCCCACTGACCACGCACGCAGATTATTTGAAAGCACGGAGGGAGAGAGAGTAGACGGAGAAACTACAGACATTGTGAAAGGGAAGACTTAGTACTATGATCCCACCCTCTTTCGGTTTTGTTTTCCTTTTCTTTTTTTCTTTCTTCCTTTTTTTTTAAAGAAGTGACCTTAGCACCCAATGTGCTTGCGACACAAGGAGTGACATTTGTGTGCCACAGACTCAGATTCCGAAGCCGGATTGTTGCACATTAGAAACATAATAATAAAATAATAATAATATCACTGAAGCCCTACTGCAGTCGGCAGATGTACCTTTTTTCACTCATCTCTGTGCTGCTGCTTGGTGCACCCGGGCGAAGAACCAGTTGCTGTCAATGGATGCAGTCACAGATGACGGTTGTATTCATGCGTGGTTTGGTTTCAAATGGACGTTGCTGCATCCGTACAACACACCGGCCATAGTACCCGCATGATCGCAAAATCCAGATCAGTGGATATATCACTTGTAAACAGATTGTTACCAGTCTTGCCCTTAGTATAGGAGTCCAGCATGGAGGGATTTTCCCTTTGTGACAGACTTGAATAACAGTCACAATTATTTTCATAAATGAACATTCAGTACGTGAAGCAGATTTCTCTGCCATTTGGCCAAAAAATACTAGATAGTCTCCACTTCTGCCATCTGAGTCTGATTTTCCGGGGCCACAGGTGAATTTCAAAAGTAA